AGGCCTGGTCAGCAGTGGCCAGTGAACAGCACATGTTATTCCACAGTCCTCTGGGGTGATGACCTTGGGTCAGGCCGACCTGGCTGGGCTCCCTTTGGAGGACCGAGAGCGCAGAGCCGGACGCCAAGTAATCAAAGCCAGCGTGCTGAAACCAAGCCACTCTGACCCCTCTCTCCCAGACGATCCGGCCGGTGCCAGAGCTGTCCCTTTCCAGCTCCTTCAGGAGCCTGTGTGCTGTGAGCTTGCGCAGCCAGTTTCCTCCCAAGCGGAGTTCTGAATTAATCAGTGATCAAGGACCCCCTTTGTGCATCTTCCCTCCTGTAGCTCAGCGTCATGCTGACCACGGACACCCATGGAAAGGGGGAGATGGGCAAGTTCTGGGAGGTCTTTGCAGGGCAGTGAACCAAGAGACCCAAGTAGCCAGGTGAGGAGGAGCATAAACTGAAGGACAGAATGAAATTCTGTTTCTTTCAAAGACTCCATCGATCCTGAGCAGTGTTTTCCTGGGGGAATGTTGGCCCACGCCGGTGCGAACAAAATAATATTTCCGTCTTAACTAAGTCATTTGGCTAAAGTATTAATTTCACAGCCAATGTTCAGACCGACACACACGGCCTTGAGTTTTCTTCCACGGAAAACTAAACACAGTGACTTGTTTTCGGGTCCCAGGCAACTGGCAATGGTGAGCTTTCTTTGTCCTATTGTTCACAGTGGCTTCCATTCCCCTCTACCTGATGCACCTGTAATGAATGGGGGGTGGGGGTGGTGGAAGGGGGGCTCTCAAAGGCAGAACGGTAGACAAAGGGGGAGTGTGGCTGCAATATACTGCAATGAGTATCGGACCTTGTTGAAAACAGAACAAATCAGAGAGAGGCTGTCCCCCAGGATAACTGAACCATGACTCTGTGGTCTGGTGGGAGGAGAAGGCCCACAGATCTTCATCACACTTCAAGGCCTGGCACACTGGTGGCCATGGGTCAAGAGCATGGCCTCTGAGTTCGAATCCTGGCTTCACCACTTACCTGTGCTGTGTATCTGTAGACAGATCACTTAACGTCTCTGAGACTCAGTTTCCTCATCTATAAAATGCAATCTAATAGCACGTACCACCTAGCATTGCTGTTGTGGCAACTGAATGCAACCACGCCTTTGATCACAGAACCTGAGAAAGAGCGAGGGCTTCACAAATGCTATCTTCCATTATTACGAATGGCAAAGGCCAGTCTGGAAGCTCCACGTGAAACGTCTGCTCCAGTTTCTGCCGGGTTTCTCTGGCAAGCCCATAACTCTGGGTCTTGCTGAAGTGCTTGCAGTCAATGCTCACAAATTTGATATACGTGTGGCATGTCACAACCCAAGACAGATGGAGGGAGAGCAGAAGACGAATGACTCTTCATCAAATCCTGGCCTGCATTACTGCTCTTAACTCGGCTCAGCTCCCCTCCTTTCACTTATCCTATCCTACCCTCTCCACAACGCCAGTCCGCAGAGGAAAGCACCAAATACTGTGTCTGGCACGCAGTAGGTGTCAAATAATTGGCATCTATTTGTCTTTGGTTAGATTCTCCCAGAGGCAGAGGCTGAGACAAACTGTGAGTGCCCTACTTGATATTTAGGTGGTGGACTCAGAAGCAGAGAAGAGAAGGGAAGGGACGGTCCCTTAACGAGCAGGTCACTGCTGTGGGCAACTGGCCCAATCCCACGGTAACCTTTGTGGGGCGCTGTGGAACATGCCTCAGAGTTGTCTCACCCGAGAGGTGAGGAAGCTGGGGATGTAGCCACCAACTCCCGTCAATCATTGGCTGAGGGCTGCTCCCAGGGGCATGCATGCAGGCCCAGGCGGCTTCTGCGGCCGGAGTCACTGTGGCTGTGGTAGGAAGCCAGCAGGTGTGGGAAAGCTGGGCCCAAGGAGACGTGGGCAGGGCACTGGCAGCCTCAGCTACACCGTCCTAGGACACCTGAACTTTAGATAGCCCTTTGCATGGACTCAGGGTGTGTATTGCATGTTTGACAATTGCCCAGTTTGATGGGCTGATTTGGTGTCACTGTCATGCCCTGGTTGCGTGTGCCTTGGTCTGGGGGCATGTGATTTCTGCTACCTGGCACAGCTACCTAATAAAAATCGGCCTTGAATGGACTGTCTTTTCTTAAAGGGAGCTACAGAGGCCCTCTTTGAGAGATCCACAGAACAAGGCAACATTGGTGCCTGGGCTTTCTACGTGAGAAGCACCGAGCGGAGACCAGCAGTTAATCTTAAGAGTTCGCCAAGAACCACAGCTTTTGGTCAAAGTGACCTGATGGGGCTGGGCTGACAACCCGAGAGTAAACGAGTGAGGCCAAGTCAGCTGACATGGCGATGCCGTGACGGTGGTCTCCAAGCTCACGTTCCAGGCCCGTCTGGGTTTCCTGGGTTTTCTAACTTAACAATAGCTCTCCTTGGTTGAGCTGCTTTCCATGCCGGGCCCTGAGTTAAGCACTTCTCAGATTTATGATGTCAGATGGTGGCATCGCTGCTTTCCGGATGAAGAAATTCAGGCACAGAGAAAGAAGTAACTTGCCCAAGGTCATAGAATAAATAAGTGACAATACAGTTGAACCCAGGCCTCTCTAACTTCAGGACCCATCGTTTTAACCGCTGTACTATATTTTATTTGTTGTACAGGCTCTTTCTTTTTAACCCTGACGTGTTATTCCCAGGAGTGTGGTGGCAAACTGGCTCGGGGGACTGGGGGAGGGGAGGATGGAAGCGGAGACTGGCCCTGATTTGTAGCACCTGCCAATTTCTGGGGTGTAAATACTCCCACCATGGTCAATTTCAAGCTACCAAGGGTTTAACAACCAGTTTATGGAATTCCTGAATAGTTAACAAGTGGATCTCACAAGCCAGTTGGAACCAACTCCGGCACCCCACTGTTGATACCACACTCCCAGAGGTCTTCATTATCAAGATTTCCAGAGAATATTGTTGGAATAGCTCCTTGCCTAACCATTCCACTCCTTAAAACTTGCTCCGGAGCTCTGGGATTATAAATGAGATGCTGCATTCATTCATTCGTTCAAAAAATATGAAGTGTCGAAGGGGCACGAGGGGTCTATTGAGGCACAGTCTCGGTCTATCTGAGGTCTAGTTTCCCAGAAGCAGACCTGGAGCAAGGATTGGACGACTTATTAGGAAGTGTCACTGAAAACTAATAGGGTGGCGGGGAAGTGAGATGGGCAGGGGAGCGGAGCAGCCAGGGTATGGTGTCAAGCCAAGCCCTCTGGAGCGTGCCTTTGACCCAGTCCTGTTGGGGGGCTCTGGAAAGAGAGCGGGGGACACTCAGAGGGTCTTGGTGAAGCGAGACAGGGCTGGAGTATTTAAACTTGCTACCCTCACCCGTCAGTCATTGGTTAAGGGCTGTCCTGAGAACCACATATGTTTTCAGGCACTTCCAGCTCTCCGCTGGCACAGGTGAAGCTGGCTCCAGCAGCCCCGACAGAGAGGTGCAGGTGCAGCCTGCTGGGGTCAGAGGATGCTGGGGCTGATGCGTCTGAAGCTGGAAAGGGACCTGGGGGTTTAGGTGCCGAGCTCTGAGTCTGCTTTCATCCCACCAGGGTTTCCTGAGCAGCTGTTCTGTCCCAGGCCTTGTCCTAGGGTCAGAGGACAGCGGGTGAGCACAGACAGCCGGGTCCCCGTGCCCATGGAGCACGTAGTCTAGTGGGCGAGTCTGAGCACCCCACCACAAACAGAGCATTACAAATTGGGACAAATGGCATCAGGAAAAGTACTGGGTCACAGGAGAACGTGTAAGAAGATGGACGCTGGATTGGGGAGGGGGTGGTTGGGGAGGGCACCCCTCACAGTCTGACAGGGAAACCCCTGGCTTTCACCGAGGGTCTTGAGATAGCATGCAGGCCAACAGCTCGTCCTCCTTTGTCTTTGAGTTTGTTCAGGTAATAGAAGGCCTGGGCCAAAACACAACAGGTACCCAAACCACAGGTTACTCATCGTGATTAACAGCTCAAAGTACGTAAATCATCTACACTAAATTATGTTGTAATTATTCCCAACCCAAGCCCTCTAGTTACTCTCGTCATTTATAACTGCTCATTGTGCATGTATTCACAGAGATCTGGGACTTCCATACCTTTGACTGCTGTGAGGCCTACAGGCTCAAGAGTCAGAGTGTCTGGGTTCAAAACCGGCTGGATCACCTAAATAGCTGTGCATCCTTGGGCAAGTAGCTTAACCTCTCTGTGTTTCAGTGTTTTCATGTGTAGAGTAGGGGAAATAGTACCTACCTCACATGGGTTCTTTTGCGAAGAGTAAAAGCAAACAAGTTCATGTGTGCAAAGTGCTTAGCACCATCTCTGGGTACATCTATGCACTTCACAAAAGGCAGCTATTATTTACATTAGTGGATGTTATATTTAACATGAAAGGATGTCCTTGATACTTGTCGACGAAAATAATCCATAACCAATCTATAAATGAAAATTTGGGTGAGTTTATTCTGAGCTGAAATCTGAGGACCATAGCCCGGGGCCTTTCTTCCCGAAGGAAGAAAGGGCACCAAAGAAATGAGGTGTACAGAGTGGTTATATACCCGCAAAGAGGGTGCTTTACATATGATTGAAATGTCCCTCCCACAATAGTCACAAGATTGCCCTGTAGGCACAGCGCTTGATGGACACAGCAGGTAGTGGGTCTGCCATCTTGGTGGGCGTAGCAGGAGGCAAGTCTATTGTCTCGAGCTGGGCGGTCACAGGTGAGTGCAGCAATCAGTTTCTAGCCTAAGGAAAGATGCTTAATCCTTAAGAAGACGCCAAAGTTGGGAGGGGGAGGGAGGTTGCACCTTTATCTCAAGGGCCTTTGCTCTTGCCATAGGGAATCTCTAAAGCAGATATACAATGCATGCTCAACGGCCTCGGTCAGGCCCTTTTGGTCGGTCAGGCCCTTTTGGAAAGACAAGGTCAGGCCGAATTAGGTTTATACCACATGGCTTCCTCATATTCTCCAATATATCCTATTGCTTGCCAGTTTTATTTGTCATACTGAAGTGAAAAAGTGGGTTTATGCATAAAATAGTTTGAATAAATGTTCTCAAACTTTGATCTCAGAGCTCTTTATACCCTTAAAACTACAGGACTCCAAAGACATTTTTTTTAATGTGAGTTTAAAATATTTATTAGTTCATTCAAATAATAATAAACCTAGTATATGTTAACACACTGTCTGAGTCAGTTTGGGCAGCTATAATGAAGTATCACAGACTAAGTGGCTTATAAATGGCAGAAATTTATTTGTCACGGTTCTGGAGTCTGCAAGTCTGAGATCATGGTGCCTGCGTGGTTGGATTCTGATGAGGCCGGCTTCTAGGTTGCAGACTGCAGCCTTCTCATTGTATCCTCACATGCTAGAAAGAGGGCTAGCGAGAGCTCTGGGGGCCGGTTATAACGACACTAATCCCATTTGTGAGGGCTCCACCCTCAAGAGCTAATCACCTCCCAGAGGCCTCTCTCTTCATAGGATAAACAATTAGGATTTCAACATAGGAATTTTGGGAGGACACAAACATTCAGTCCATAACACATAGCTATCATATTTTTATGAAAACTAACTATATTTCTAAGGCAAAAAATAGATATATTGTTTTATACTTTTGCAAATCTTTTCAATGCCTGTCTTAATCGAAAATAGCTAGATTCTCTTATCTGTTCTGCATTACACCTATTGGGATGTGTTGTTTGGGTTGAAGTATTTGAAGAAGATAGAAGATACTGCGTGCCTCCAGCCAGCTCTCCAGGCCATCTGAGATGGTGGTTGGAATGGGGGCGCCCTCCTCTAAGGGGAGGATATAAGCCCTGGTTGTACCATATAGGCAGCACACCAGAGCCATAACCTGGGGCGTACAGAGCCATCAGACCCTCCTTTCCCATCCTGTCTCCTCCAGGAGAAGAGGAAGAACCACATTTCAGTGACAGTGTTCTGCTCTGGTTTGGCCTCAACTATCTGTCAGGTCTCCCCGCCCCCACCCTACCCCACTAGCTGCTGCTGTTAGTTGGAAACCAGGGGCCGGAAGCAGAGCATGGGCTGAGGAAATAATTCTGGAGGACTCAGCCGACGGCTGTTGGAGCCCATTCCAGGCTAGCACGCAGGAGCCCTTTTGTACTTTGTCTGCATCTCCACCTGTTCTCTGAGACTTGTAGACACTTAAGCATTGAGCAACAGACCCATTTAAGTGCCTCAAAGTGTGTGGAGTTGTGGGGGCAAAGTCTGTGAAGGGACTATGTGGTGGCTTCATTGGGTGGGCCTCCCTCAGGCTTGGCACAGGCCTTTGAGCTCCACCATTCCTTGCAGAGGTGAGGAGATGTGTCCTCAACCCAAGGGACCCCCAGGACAATCTGAGAGACGGCAGGTCTTCCTTCTACCTGATCACTTCCTCTACCATGAATGTTGCTTGCTTTCTGATTCCCCTGTCAGTCATTTCTTCCCTCCTCCCAGCCTACTTCCTCTTCTGAGAGAGCTTGTTCCCAGAGCCCCTACTGAGGGGTCCATGGTCCTTGACTCCTGCCCCCCATCTATAGCTTATTGACCTCCTGACCCAAGCAGGGCCAATCGGAGTTCCCTCCTGGTTACCTGGTGTTAGAGCTTGGACTTGAATCAAGCAGCTACATGGACTAAACTTTCAAGGAGCGTGGACTTGAGGTGGGATCGCCCATGTTGGAGCAGCCACGGCTGTGGTCTGAATGTTTGTTTCCCCCCAGATTCATGTGCTGAAACCCAACCCCTGAGGTGATGGTATCAGGAGAAGGTGGGGTCTCTGGGAAGTGATTAGGTTGCGAGGTGGAGCCCTCCTGAGTGGGATTAGTGCTTTTATAAGGGAGGCCCCAGAGAGATGCTTGCTGTTTCTGCCATGTGGGGATGCAGCGAGAAGCTGGCATCCTGCTACCCGGAAGAGAGTCTTTATCAGAACTCACCTTGCTGGCACCCTGACCTTGGACTTCCAGCCTCCAGAACTGTGAGCAATATACTTGTGTTGTTGAGAAGCTCCCCAGTCTGCAGTACTTTGTTAGAGCAGCCCGAGTGGACTAGGCCAGCCATCCTGGGCAGCCATTTGGGGGCCCCATGTTCTGATATAGAGAGACCTGGAGAGCTTGTCTGCAGCAAACCGCAGGAGAATGCAGCAGAGAAAGAGAAAAGCCTTCCCCTAGGACCCAAAGACAAAGAGGATAAAGAGTGAGTCTGATTCCTGCCAGCTTTCCAATTCCCGGGACCAAGGTCTTGTGAAGAATTTCTAGTTTTAAGTGAGAGGGGACCTGAACAAGTTCTTGCCCTCGAGGCCCACCAGATACCCTCACTCCTCGCAGTGGCTTTCCCTTTATTTACGTTAGCTCCAGTGCGTTTGTTTTTGCCAAGCAAATGATCCCTGATGAAGGCAGTTCTGGCAGAGGAACGGCCTGGCCTGACGCTCTCCTGAGTTATCAAACACCAGCTGGGCCCAGATCTGTGCGAGCACTAGGATTCAGGGGGGGGGGGGGGGGGGAGCGCTAAGAGAAGCACAGCCCGGAAGGGGAGTGAGCAGGGCGCATCTGAGAAGTGGGTTGTTGGTATTGCGCACCGGCCAGAACCCGAAGCGTGAAGCAGACATTTCCTGGGTCAAGGTCAGAACGCTGGGATTTAAGTTGAGGTTCTGCCAGGCACTAACCGGCTGGCTCTAGACACCTTTCTTAGACTCTAGAGACCTCCAGCTTGTAAACTGTGACATAAGGATGGCAACTCTCTGAGGAGCCTTGACTAAGAAGTTTCGCGGTGCATAGGAAGTGCCCAGGACCCGTCAGCTGTGACTTGTTACTGTGCTCAGGGAGGGGACTGCAGAGCCCAAGTGTTAGCAGGGCCATCCCACCGAAATCTTGATAGACCCAGCAAAGGAGTTTGGGTTTTATCTGGAAAAACTAGGGGAAACATGGAGAATTTGAAGCAAGTAAATGCTCTGATCAGATTAACGAAAGGATTTCAACTGGGGCGGCTCAGTACCCTTCCCCACCCCCAACCCAGGAGACACTGGGCAATGTCTGAAGACACTGTTGCTTGTTAGAACTGGGGTGGGGGTGCTACTGGCATCCAGTGGGTAGAGGCCAGGGATGCTGCTGAATACCCTACAGTGCACAGGACAGCCCTACAACAAAGAGTTATCTGCCTAAAATGACAATAGCATCAAGGGTCAGAAAGCCTAGATTAACGTACGTATTGTAAAGAAGAGAAATTAGTCACTTCCGCCTCCAGGTCTTGGTTCCCATCCATCACAAGATGGACTTGAAGGACTTGGGAGGGCTGAGTGATTTGTTCCCTCCACACCTGCCCTTCTAGGACTCTGCATATTCTCCCACTGCTGTTGACCTGCGGCCTGGACCCTTCTGACACGAGCTGTGTGGCCCTGAGCCTGGGCCCTCTGAGCCTCTCATTACAGATAATCCTGATGGAGCCACAGAGTTTATGAAGAATGGACAGCTCGGGATCCAGGCAGCCCATGGGATCAAATCCTGACGCCACCCCTTGCCAGCTATGAGACCCAGAGCAATTCTCTTTGCCTCTCTGAACCTCAGTTTCTCCATCCGTAGAATGGGACTGATAATAATGCCTCCCTCACCGCACAGGTGTGAGGGTTTGAAAAGCCTTTGGCCCAGCACCTGGCCCATCACAGGTGCTCCATCAACACCAGCCATGGGAGGCACTGACTGCCCCCCCAAGGTGTGAGATTAATAAACACAAGGGGAATTTGTGAGAAATGCCTCCAGAAACATTCAGACAGACTCTCTCCGGAGGCCGGTGACAACGCCCATCAGTCAGAGCGGACTCAGGGAGCACACGCTCCTTGGGAGACTCGCTGGTGATCCGGAAAGGAGGGCAGGAAAGGACGAGGCCGTCCTCACCGTAGCGCAGCTCACAGACTCGGCTCCGCAGGGGCTGTGGAGACAATGGCCGACTGCGAGGTTCATTGTGGGTTAATTAATGACCCAACCGAATGGTACCAGAGACGTGAGAACAAGAACTGCTTTCCTCCGAGAGGCAGGACTGCAGACCCGGGAGCCCGAGTGCCGGGTTCAAATTCCGGTTTGGCAACGAACTAGCTGTGGGAACTTAGGCAAGTTACTTTAACCTCTCTGTGCCTCAGTTTCCCCATCTCTACATATAGAGATAATAGTAATACCTACCTTAAAGGGAAGCCTGAAAATTCAATATGTAAATAATATATATAAGCACAAACATCAGTGCCTGGCACAGAACAGATGCTAGTGACATCCTAGCTTCTAGCTTCTGTTACCATTTTTACAATAAAAGCAAGCAATCTCAATCAGCCTTGGCATCAAGCTGTGTGGTCTGCAGACCAGCAGCATCAGCATCATCCAGAAGCTTGTTAGAAACGCAAATGCTCAGGCTTCACCCCAGACCCACCAAATCGGAAACTCTGCATCTACTGGCGGTGTGACCTCAGTTGGGAAAATTAAGCTGTCTAAGCTGGGGATTCCTTGCCTGCAAAGTGAGGATAATAATATCACCTACCCCTCCTCTGCTCTCAGCTCTCTAGGGGGAAATTGGCCTTCTGTCAGTTTCTAGACTGTGCCAAGCTCTTTTCTACCCCAGGGCCTTTGCACTAATTTTTCCTTCTTGGAATGCCTGTTCCTTGGCTCTCCCTATGACTTACTTGGCTATCTTTTAGGCTTCAGTTTAAACGTCACCTCCTCAGAGAGGCCTTCCCTCCCCACCTCCATCCCATCGCCCATTACTCCACATCTCTACACATTACATATTTCTTTCTTCATGCTAATCACATTCTACAATTATCTTATTTCTGAGTCTGCTTATTTGCTTCTTGTCTGATTTCCCTGTCAGTACATAAGTCCCAGAGGGCAGAGATTGAGGCTGTCTCTGGGAAAAATGCCTGGCATAGGGTGGGTACTCCATAAACAGGTGCAGAAGGAATGAATATGTCATATGATGAATATGGAGTGCGTCAGAGGGCTGGGTACATGTTGAAGGCCCCACAATCAAAATAGTATTATAATATTATGATAATAGGATAGGCTACTCTGCAGCCCTGGCCTTCGTGTGCCATGGACCTGGCCTTCCCAAATGGCGCCTCGAGCCATGCAGAGGCTGACGGAGGTCTTTCCACCCACAGCTCCAGCCTCAGCCAGCTCCTCTTTGTCCCTCCTGCCCAATCCCATAAGAGGGCCGCCTTGGAGATACTGCCTCATTAAAATACGGAGGTAGCTGTCATGTTGCTCCCACGCAGCCCAAGCCAGCAAGCATTCCAAGTTGGGTTTTGCCATTTTATACAGCACAATGTACATTTGTTACTTTCCAAACAGTAAACACCACCTGTAAAGTGCCTTTAATATTTAATGTAACTATAAATTGTTTTGAAAATAAATCCAGCCATGTGGAAAAGCAGCAGAAGGGACAGGAAGCAAATGCAGGAGCCAGCTCCACGTGGGGCCGGGGCAGAGACTCCGGGGGCAATTCCATGACCCATGGGGTGGGGGGGTGCCCTGATGGGCCTGCCATGTGGACCGATGGGGGATGCCTCCTCCCCTCCGTGCTGGACCGATTCGAAACTCATGACACACTTGGTTTCACAGAAGAGGTGAGGGTGAGTCTGTGGAGATCACCTTGGCCAGAAACATCCTGGGGATGCGCTGGCCAGCGGACATTAACCATGGCCCTTGGGGGTGAATGGGTGCTGGGCCGTGAGCTTTTTTGACCAAACCAGCTTTTAAGCCACACTCCAGGATCACAGGGGGTTGTGATCATGGCTGGTGCCCAGTCACTTTAATTTGCTCACCACGTCCTGTGTTTTCTCCTTCATGTCTCTCTCTATCCCCTCTCACACACTGGTATAGGGCCTCAGAAAAGCGACTAACCGTTTTTTGGTCTTACTGCCCACATATGTAAAATTAGGTTGCTAACACCATTGACCTCATTGCATTCCTGCAGATTTGCATAGGTGAGGGTGTGAAGTGGTTACGTACAAACGCAACATACAGAGGCTTCCTGCGAGTCGGCTGCTGCTGACGACAGGCACCAGGCATCATAGGCACCGTCCGCTGGCTCCACAGTGCCCTCTCACTGCCGTGCCAGCTGCCCTGGCCTCCCCGTGCCTGGCATGGTCCCTGCTCCCTCCCACCACCAGGCCATGGCACGTGGCACCAGCTGGGGCCTCTGCCCGTAGCACATGTCCTTACCCTATTTGCCTGGTTCACTCCTGCTTCTCTCTCAGCTACCAGCTCAATCGACTGAAATGTTGAACTTTTGGGGAAGCGCATCTTGCTTCTCTTGGTGTCACAGATGCTAACTAAATCTCTGGGGCCAGAGGGTGAGAATTCTCAGATAGTCCGCATCAGGTCATCTCCCCGCATGTGACAGGGCCAGAGGACCAGGATCAACAGCCCCATCAAAAGCCCTATGCTGGGTGCAGAGGGGCTGAGCTGTGCCCCAGGAGAAGGGAGCCGCTGTTTCTGGCAGACAAAACTGTCATTGTCCATTACAATGAGATGTGTGTCTTAGGACAGTCACCCCAGAAGCCACGTGACAACCAACTGCGGTGGGTGACCAGTCAGGCAGCTATTGCTTTGGTGGAGGCTTGGATGAGGGCTGATGATGTGGGTAACTGAGAGAGAGAGACAGAGAAGAGAACTCTGAGGTTCTAACGTGGATAAGAGAGTGTGTGGTGGTATCTGGAAGGGTGAACGTGACCTCATATGATGTAACCCAAAGATGTAGGGATCTGAGACAATGGTACCCAGCTCAGACAGGAGGGAGACTGCTCTGGGGGTAAAAAGGAAGCCCAAAATTTCTCAGTTTGCACCATTTAAGTAGATATATAAATACAATGCTGGTACTAACTCTAATTAGTAAAGAGCTATTAACGCCACCCTATTCATTGCTTGACCCTTCCAGCCAAATTCAAAGTGAACGTTCATTATGTCTTCCTGCTTTCTTGATCTTCCTGAGCACAGCGAGGGCTCCTGTGTCAGTGCCTCTGAATATCTGTCCCCTTGGTTCCCGACTCTCCCGATGACCATGCACCTCTGTATGAGAAGGCTCGGTCCCTCACCGAGCGATTTCATAATAGCCACGGAGTTATGTGAGTGGCCTGGGAATCCAAATGGACTCGTGAGCGGGAAGACGCTCTCTGCTCTGCTTGTCGTTGTGCCCCTAGGCATCTCAAAATAGCATGCTCACAACAGACTTCTAGGTTTTCCTTCCCAAACATAATCTTCTCGTCTCAGTGAGTGGCGCCACCATCCGCCAAGATCCTCAAGCCCAAAGCCTAGAACTCGAATTCTGTCTTTCCCTTTCTCCTGTGTCCAATCTACCAATAAATCTTGTTGGCAACACCTAAAATATGTCCCTGTCATCTCCCCCTCTAGTCCAGGGGTTGGTAAACTTTTCCTGTAAAGGACCAGAGATTAAATATTTTCAGCCTTGCAGGCCATGACGATCTCCGTTACCGTCACTCAACTTGCCTTCAGTGCCAAAGCAGCCACGGACGATGTGTAAACATGGATGTGTCTATGTTCCAATAAAACTTTATTTACAAAATCAGGAGGCCACAGACCATAGTTTGCTGACCACTATTCAAACCTAGTCTGCCACTATGTCTGGACCAATGCGAAGCCTTTAGACTGGTCTGCCTGCTTCCCTCTTGCCACCTCTGCCATGGACGATCCCAAGTGATCTGTGAGAAAGTAGTCAGACGGCATCTCTCGGTGACTTATAGTGGGCTCCCTGTTGCCCTTAAATGAAAACCCAAAATCTTTCCCTCTGATCTCTTTGCCCTCCATGTAGGCTCCTGCCTCCTCTCTGACCTCACCTCCTACCCCGGCTCTTTGTCCACCGTGCTCCACATTCACTGGTTTCCTGTCTGCTCTGCTCCCTTCACTCTTCTGCTGGAACATTCTTCCCCTCCGTCTCCCCACGTCTGCATCCTTTGCACCATTCAACTTCTACTCAAATACCACTTCCCCAAGGAGAATCCTCTGCCGGCTAACCATGCTGCCCACCCCATCTTCATTACCCCTTTGAAACGGTCTTATTTGCTGATTGGCTCATGGTTTGTCTTCCCGATCTGACACGTAAGCTCCACGAGAGCAGCGACCTCCTCTGTCTGCTCAGCACTAATGTCAGCGCACGGCACATCGTAAGTCCGCAAATATTTGCCCACTGAACGAAGAGAGGCTACTGATTTGTATTTCCAGGCAACACCTGTTCCAATGTCTGCTCACCTCAGATTTCCTCAGCGTTTACCAAGCCCTTCTGACACTGGCTCAGGAAGGCTCACCCAATAGCTCATTCGGTGCAGGGGATAAAGCCAGAAAAAAATGCTGCTCATCTGAATCACTGTGCTTGTCCAGGGACCCCATGCGAACTTCTTTGTCATCCCAAGGCCAAGCTGGGAGAAAGGCTGCTCTCCTGACAGCTGGAGCCCACCCGGGGGCCTCTTCACCAGCAGCTGTGATGTTGTGGAAGGGGACGGGGGATGTGTTGTCCCACGGAAGCTCTGGGTCAGGAATCCTGCCTTCTGTTCCTGGTGCTCCCTGATGTGTGATGACGTGAGTTTACTCAAGCTGAATTTCCTCGGTTCGGAAGAGTTCGCTCTCAGGCCCTCTCATTTCTCTCTTTCTCCCACCACCTCCCACCGACTCCTTTTTTCATCAGAATGCTGGTTGCCACCAAATATCCTTTCTTCCTTGGTCGTAAAACTCCGATTTTATTTGAGGTGGCAAAGAAACCAGGAAAAAGATGACATTCGCCAGCCTCTGTTGCAGTTGGGGTGGCCACATGACTATGTGCTGGCTGATGAGATATAAACTGAAGCGTTGATGGAACTTCTGGGAAGGACCATGAAACGGTGCTGACTCAGCTCGTGTCTTAGCTCGGGCTGCCACAACCAGATAATGTAGCCTGGGTGGCTTAAACAACAGACATTTATTTTCTTATAGTTCGGAGGCTGGAAGTCCAAGATCAAGGTGCCAGCCAGTTCAGTTCCCTGCTGATGACTCTCCACCTGGCTTGCAGCCGCTGCCTTCTCACTGTGTCTACACATGGTGGAGAGAGAGAAAGAGATCTCTTCCTCTCTTCCTTTTCTGATAAGGCCACCAATCCTATCAGATTAGGACCCCACTCTTACGACCTCATTTAACCTTAATTACCTCCTAAAAGCCCTATATCCAAATACAGCCACACTGGGGATTGAGGCTTCACCATGAGTTTAGGGGGGACACAATTCAATCCATAGCAGCTAGGCATTACCTTATTTGGTTCTTCCCTTCCTTCCTCCTTCCTCTTACCTGGAATGCAGATAGGATGGCTGGAGCTTCAGCAGCTATGTTGGGCCTTGTGGTGACCTTGAGAATACATGCCGGGTGCTGAGGATGGAAGTGCAAAAAGATGGAAAGAACCTAGGTTGAGCTGTGGAGCTACCATATCATCACTGGAATGATGTTAGGGTTTGCTTTATGTTAGAGCACTGGTTCTCAACTGCAGCTACACATCGGAATAACCTGGGGGGCTTTGAAAAATACTGGTGCTTGGATGTCACCTCCCAGAGATGCTGACATAGTTGGTCTTTTAGGGTGAAGCCTAGGCATCATGATTTTTTTAACATTCATCCAGTGATTCTGACGTGTTAAGGTTGAGAACACTGTGTTAAAGAATAAACTCTTGCGTAAGAGAATAAACTATATTTTAAACGATGGTATTTTAATTTTGTTATATCACATTAACACAATTCCTAACAATCAGAAATCTAAATCTGGGAGATGAGTCACTTCCATCTTCTAAGATTTTCAGAGCAAGAACCACCCAACTCTGGCGGGAGCCCTGGTCACCTCCTCCCACGTTCAAGAGGGTGTACGGTAAATCTCAGTGCAAGCTGAGTGACAGAGCTGTGAAATATTAACCACAATTTTCTGTCCCTTTACCCACATGAATAAAACAGCGTGTGTCACTAAAAATAAACTTCAGGGTTGAAATAAGCATTCAAATTAAAAATAGATGCAGCACTTTCGTCAATATGTGTTTCTGAAAGTGGAATCCATGGGTAAGGATCATTGGAGGCCAGTGAACTCTCCCTTCCTGTGGCCCAAATGCCTCTCCCTGTCCCCATCCCAAGTGAGAAGAGATGAAGGGGAGGAGCTCTGCCAGCAGAGGAGAGTTGGTTTCAAATAAGCAGGTGCCTGGGTTCAAATCCCAGGTGTACTACTCTGAAGCTGCACACTCTTGGGCAGGTCATTTAACCTCTCTGTGCTTCAGATGCCCTTTGTGCAAAATGGGGTCCATGGTTCCACTCAGGACCCAGGATTGGGGTGAGGATTAAACAACAGGATAGGAAAAAGCACTTTGCATTCTGCCCGACGGGTAGTAACTGTTGGGTAACAGTCAGCTGTCACTCGCAGGCGTGGCCAGGTGTTCTTCTTGGACTGTGTGTCCTTCCTGTGAACAGGGACGCTCTTCCCCTCCGTTTCTGGAAAACAGCACCAAAAAGAGGGCTGCTTTTATGAATAGGGTGCTAAATGAGCAAACACATGTCTGGAAATAAGGTAATTCATCCCTAGGGAGATACCGTCTCCCAGGTTCAGGGGTTAATGGGCTCAGAGGATTCCTAACACACCAGTGCCCGAGACAAATTGGCTGAGCAGCTATTGCTGCTCAGACGGCTCTTCCGCTGTGTCCCATTTATTAGCACGGTTGCCCAAGAAACAAAAGGCGAGCCTCCCCCTCAAAGATAACGGAAATCAAGCGCAAGGGGCACAACAGCCTGAAAGTTTGAGCTGGTGACAGGGAGGCTGCCAATCTCCAAAAGCTGAACTCGGAGGAGGCTGGCCCCCAGCCAGCGGCTGCCGGTGTGCGCGCTCTTTGGTGGATCTGGGAGCTGCCAAGAGCGGGGCCCCCGGAAAAGCACTTACAGATGAGAGGGAAACACATGGTGAGCCTGACCCTCTGCAGTCGTAAAGTGCATGGTGGAGGGAGACGAGAGGAAACAAACGATTCTCTTTGGGACCGTCCATCTGGAAGTGTGTGGCCAGGAGCGTTAGTACAAATAAATGCGTCCAGCTCAGCAACGTCTGGGAGTCATTGGATGTTTTCATCCTCCTGGAACCTGCAGGAGAGCTCCTTACACAAACACGGGTCCCCAAAGCGGCAACAGACCCCCCGGGGCAGGCAGGCCGGCTCTGCTCTTCCCCGCCTGTGGATTGGTTCAGCCCATTTTCTAGGGAATGCCAGGGCGTGGTGAGGGCTTAAGATTCTAGAAGCTTTTGAGGGGGGTGCGAGCCCGGGAGAGGACAAGAGTCCTTGCAGATCCATGGGAAATGTGACCAGATGGAAAGCAGGCCTCTGTGGGTAATTAGCTTCTCCAGGGTTTCTCAAAGTTGAGTCCTGGAAAGATTTTTTTATCCTGGGGTGCTGGCCAAGCATATGGATTCCTGGGTCCTACTCTAGACCTCCAGGATTCGATTCTTCAGGACTCAGTGCAGAAATCTTGCATTTTAATACAGCTTCTTGAGAGATTCCCGTGCACCCTAGAGCAGCGCTTCCCAAGCTTGAGCATGGTCAGAATCACCCAGAGAGCTTGCCAGATGCAGACCGCAGGGCCCCACGTCGGCAACCTCCCCTGATTCCCTAAGTCTGGGGTGGCCCCTGCGGACTTGCGTTTCTGACGGTTTCCTTCAGAGGCTGCTGCTTATGGTCCAGGGCCCCCACTTTGAGGAGCCCTGCCTTCGAGTCGCAAACCACTGAACTACAGGGTCGGCACTCAGGCAAGCAAAGTCCCGTTTGTCCACAAACACATCTGGAGCCCCAGCTGGGGGCTGCACCTCCCGATCTTCAGGCATCACAGAGTCTGGGGGCCAAAACTTCACTCCCAGGCCCCCCAAGGAGCCTGAAGATGTCACTCGAGCTCATAGTGCCTGCAGGAGGCGTTTGTGGGGGGACTTGCCTCAGAGAAAGGAAGGGCCTAGACAGTGGTTCTCAGCTGCGTGAGATTTTAAAAACACTCCTGTGCCTGGTGAGGAGAGTAAACCAGTTAGTCTAGACTCTCTGGGGGTGGGACTCAGGCACATCAGGCTTTGTAAAGTTCCCCCGGGGAGTCCGAAGTGCAACCGGGGCAGAAAACCGCATACAAATGTTATCGACCCTGATTACCGTCAGACCCACCCAGGGAGGGGTGACAAGACACCACCGCCAGGCCGCACCCCTCCCTCCAGATTCCCACTTCCTGATTTGGGGCACAGCCCGGGCATTGGCTGTAAAACAAAAGCCTGCAGGTGATTCCCAGAGCGAGGGGACGTGGGGGCAGACCTGCTGGCCTGAGGCCTAGTGGAAAGGGACTCTCCGAAGGAGATTTTAGGAAGGGTTAAGGGGGCAGATGAGCCAGAGGTTGGGCCAGATTCATTTGGGTCACCACCATCAATGACAGTGGTGAAGCAAGCCACCACAACGTAATGCAGCTCTGTGAAGTGTGATCAAAACAAATTTCTTGCCCTTCCCCCAGAGACAGCTGCAAACTGACTGTCTTCCTCGCTGGCCTGGGCAGGCATTTGCTCAGGGTGGGGGATAGAAATGCTCTGCAGACTTCAGACCTGCCTCCCCTGGGAGATGCAGAGAGGAGTGCCCCTGCCAGATGTCAAGCCCCGTGCAACTGGCCTTCTACAGGGGCCAAGGAGGAAGCTCTGCTAGAAATACTGCCTCGCCTGGGTTATTTTTCTTTATTAAAATGCAGATTCCTGGGTGCTAGTTCAGCCTTTTAACCTTGGAGGTAGGACCCTGGAATTTTCATTTTATTCTATTTATTTATTTATTTATTTTTAGAGCTGCTTCTTTTTTCTTTTTCTTTTTGAGGAAGATTGGCCCTGAGCTAACATGTGTCGCCAGTCTTCCTCTTTTTTTTCCTTTTTCCTCCCCAAAGTCCCAGTACATAGTTGTATATCCTAGTTGCAGGTCCTTCTAGTTCTTCTGTGTGGGATGCCACCACAGCATGGCTTGATGAGTGGTATGTAGGTCTGTGCCCAGGATCCGAACAGACGAACCCCAGGCTGTCAAAGCAGAATGCACGAACTTAACAGCCACGGGGCTGGCCCCTGGAACTTGCATTTTAAACAGACATTCTGGGTGATTCTAATGGGCATTGAAATCACAGAACCACTTGCATGAAGGCTCTAGCTACTGAGGAAAGGGGAAGTTTAGAGAGGTGGGGCAGAGAACCAAAGGGACAGTTCCTTACCAGTTTTGGCTTACTCGAGGTCTCTGCTGGGCACGGGATTGCTCAGAAAACTTCTTCCCAAAGATAAGAGCCTGACCTCTTAACAAAATTGACATCTGGGTCCAATAGATAGAGCCGACTTCGTCCACGTGAGCCTGGGTGTCATATTCAGCTGTCTCTGTTTTGATGTGGTTTTAAGGCCTTTCTAATAGGATGAGCTAGATTGCTGGAAAAGAGATGGATTTCTCTTTTCTGTGGAGAATTCTAAATCTCCTCACTGGAGATTTAGGCTGCCCATCCCAACAATGACAAATGTTGAATGGCCCAGCTTTGGCCAATGGTCCTGGCCTGCCATGTCTGCCCATGACAAATGTTCCCTTTAATCTGCTCATTCTGGGGTCACCAAGTATTTCAAATTGGGGGCGTGGGGTGGAGAGGGAAGGAGAGAGAGAGAGGGAACTATTTTAAATCCACTATGACCTTGGCATTGACAAATTAACTCTGAAGGATTTAAAGGTCTGTGACCTGCAGCCACTTGCCATTTTGATGAGGCACAACTTTTGACAGTGTCTGTCTCAGGGCTGTTGAGGATGAGCGGTCCTCGTAGCTGGGGCAGGCGCAGAGATGACCACCAGCATCCCAGCTTTGTGCAACTCATGACATGGTGGGAGTTTTGTTTCCTGGTGAAAATGGCCACGTGGCTGGAGAGAGAATTTCAGAGAATATAGAAATAACATTAACCGGGGACTCGGGACAAGCCAGGAATCTGTGTCATCATTTCCGTGCACAGAATCTAGGATTCCTGGAGGTCTCAGAATCAGGCCTCCTAAGGCTCCTTGGTCCATCGCATGTTAGGTCACGGTGAGACGGGGTCGGTAAGCCGAGGAAAGATTTCTTAGACTCTTAAGATCTGGCAGTAGTGCTCTTTTATTTAGAGAGTGGAATAGCACGGGGACAGGACCCATGGGCAGTCAGAGTTGCTGCTGCTGCTGCTTCTGCTGCCCCTGCTGGCATGGGGACAGGACCCATGGGCAGGCAGAGCTGGTGTGTGGGGACAGGACCCACTGGCAGTCAGAGCTGCTGCTGCCCCGAGTTGAGGGTTAGGGCTAAATTTAAGGCATAGGTATGTGAGTTATCTCTTTACAAGACAAAGAATATGTAAAAAAGTTAAAATGGTATCAGTGCAGGTGGGGTCTGGTCGTTGGGTGATCCCATGACTTTTAGACAAGAATCAAATCGGATTAAGTAAAGGTCAGAAGCCACCACCCTAAATCAGTTACATGAGATTGCCAGACAGCAACCAACTTAAGTTCTTGCCTTCCACATTAAGAGCTTCTAGAGATAAGACCATTCCCCCTTCTTCCTGGCACAGAGAGGGAGGCATCTTCACAGATAGAGGTTTCCCTTAGAAATGTAAATGTTTCCCAACAAAGGGGCAAACAAATTCCACTCCTTGGAGCCTGAATCTCATCTGTAGTTTTAAAACTAACCAGCCTAAAAATCCTCATCATAAGCCATTTTAAAATTAAGCAGCCTAAAAATCCTCATCAACGGGAGAGGGAAGAGTAACAACATCTCAGGTCTGAGCACTTATGATGTTTGAGGCAAAGCGCTGAGAGCTTAGCACACCCCATCCATGGAAGGCCCCCAGCAACCCGAGAGCACAAGAGCTGCACGCTTTTGTGGTCACCGTTTTCCAGATGAAGCACAGAGAGGTTATCCAGTTTCAAAAGGCCCCACGGCTGCACAGTGACAGAGCTGGGATTTGCATTGACAGACTCTCTCCTTGACCAAACTCCCGGGGCCTCTCCAGCCCAGTCTTAACAAAGATCTGCTGAGTCTGTGTAGAGAGAAGCCCCCATCCTTGATGTCTGCTCGCCCTTCATATCTGATCAAGTTCCGCTTTTGATGTTTAAGTCCCTGACCCGCCTGTAGCAAGAACCCTCCCTCCTCTCTTAGTCATGTTCCCCCCCCCACCCCTCTCTCTGCTCACTGGCTGTAAGCCCCCACTTGTCCTTGATGTTTTCCACATTGAGCCCAATCTCCCTCCCCTCTTGCAATAGTCTTGAATAAATTCTCCTTACCACTTTAACAAGTGTCAGAATAATTTTTCCTTTAACAGAATTCAGGCAGTTGGACTCTCATAGCTGCATTCTTAATCTTTACACCGTCCCACAGGCCAGCGCTGTCCAAAAGAACTATAATGCGAGCCACACGTATCATTTAAAATTTTCTGGAGCCACATTAAAAGAAGAAAATGAAACAGGTAAAATTAATTTAAAAAAAGTTTACTGAATATATCTGAAATATCATTTCAATATGTAGTTGGTACTAAACAATCATTAACGAGATATTTTAATATCTCATTTTCTTTTCCCTACTAAGTCTTTGACACCCAGGGTATATTTTGCCCTTGGAGCACATCTCCACTGGATGAACACATTCAGGTGCTCATTCTCCACAGGTGGCGAGTGGCTACAGTATCGGGCAGCCCAGGGCTGGACCATCCCCTGGCAGGATGCTTGAGTTGCACGATTTATTTGTGGGAGTGCTTGGGGCAGAGGGGAGGCGAGGAGGGGAATAGAGACAGAGAACCTGGCGGAGCAGAGGCACTGCTGGCCTCTCTGTGGGCAGAATCCAAGGGACTGTGTGAGGGATCCACTGACCACAGGGGTTTGGACCTACAGCTGGAGAGTGTGCTGGGATGGAGGTAAAAAGGGACCTGGATTAGGAAGTGCGAACAGTGAGGTGGGAGCGAGCTGGAGGAACTGTCTGGGACAGAGAAGGCCTATGTGGTTGGGAAGGGCGGGCCGGTGAGGAATGAGGCAGTATCTCTTCAGGTGTGATGCGCACTGACACCACCTGCGATCCTGTTCAAACGCAGATCTGGACTTGGTTGGTCTGGGATGAAGCCTGAGATTCTGCGTTTTCAAAGAACATCGGGTATGATGATGCTGCTGCTGCGTGGACGACACTTTGAGTAGCAAGGACGTGAACACACTAATTCATGCCTCGAATGGTTGGCAAGCAACATGGAAGGGGATAAAGATGGAATTTCCCTAAGCCATGGAGAGCTTTTGGCTTGAGTTCTTTCTAAGCTGTGGCAATAATTGTAGCTCATTTCTATTGTGCACCTACTCTGTGCCAGAGACTGTGTTCTGAGCTTTATACTAAGGGTCTGCAAACTGTGGCTGCCCTCCAGATATGGCCACTTCCCGTTTTGGTAAATAAAGTATTATTGGAATCCAGCCACACCCATTTGTTTACACATTGTCACAGCCGCCTTCACGGTGCAACGGTAGAGTTGAATAGTTGCAACAGAGACCATATGGTGTGCAAAGCCTAAAATATTTACCATCTGGCCCTCTACAGAAACATTTTGCCAACCCCTTGCACATCATCTCATTTAATTCTCATCGCATTATCCAGGGGGCTAAGTCCTGTTACTGTCCCCTTTTACAAATGAACCAACAGAGGCTTAGAATCTTCGAGGCACTTGCCCAAGGTGCAGTCAAAGGGACAGAGCTGGTCCTCATGCCCAGGCTGACTTAGACCAGAGAGGCCAACACCCAGGCTCTCTCCGCTATGCTAGTCTCCTGGAAATAGGAGCGGCTTCTAGAAAGTGAGAACATCAATGTGTGAGCAGAAGTCAGAGTGAGATCAGGTCGTTGTTCTGCGGAAAGGTAGCAATACACGGATTCCTTGAACACCCACTGTGTGCCAGCATGGGTGTCGTAGCTCTTGGTCCCTCCCCCACCCCTGCCCACCTCTGGTTTGCCCTGCAGCCCGGACCCTCCTCCCTCAAACTCCAGTGTCTCCCTGCAGGAGGCCTTTCTCCCTGCTGTGGAATGGTAGTTGTTAGCTAAATACCCCGGCTTCCCCATCCCTCGGGTGGGACAGTTCAGAGGCATGGTCTACACGCTTCTCCAAGGTGCACAAGATGATACCCAGGTTCACACGATGGTACCCTGCTCACTAGTGGCTTCCCCCTTCCGTGTCCCAGCAGCACTTTCCCAGTCCCCCACTTGTGCGTCCAGGGATCACTTCCCAAATAAACTGCCTGCACCCAAATCCCCTGTTAGGCTCTACTCTCAGGGAAACCCAAACTGAGATGCACAGTTGGCCCTTCAGACGCCACAATAACCAAGAAGGTGCTTGTGGACTCACATGTTACAGGTGAGGAACTGGACCTAGAGAGGATAGCAGCTTGATTCAGTCACGGGGGCTCCTAGACAAGTCTGTCTGACTTGTGCCTTGATGACTCACACCGCCCATTCTTCAGTGGTAATGATGATGATGATGACAACTACTGAACGCTTGCTGTGAACAGACGAGGAGTCTGTGGCTCAGAGAGGTTAGGTAAGTTGCTGGAGTTTTGTATACGTGTTAGAACTGAGATTTGTCCCAAAGAAGCCTGGAGAAGCAGAGGTGGAGACCCATACATGCAAGGCTGCCGTGGGCATGGAGTTATCCCTGTGGGGGGCGCCCTGGTGAGGCAGGGCCATCTCTCAGCCCTGCCCACTGGGTGGGATAAGCATCATTTTCAGTGACTGCGCCTACCGCCGGTTGCCATGGTAACCACTGGGTAACCGTCTGAATAACGGAGGACGGCAGTGGTAACTGCAACCACCATCAGCACCTCTGTTTGACACTCCCCTCCCCAACCCCCAATTCCTAGTGAGACTGGAGCTGGGGAGCGGGAACGGGGTAGGCCTAGCTGCCATGAGAACCAGGGGAGCAGCTCTCAGAAACTCAGTTCTAGAAATGCAGTGAACTTCGCCATGGGGCTGGGGAGTTACCATTGCTCTGCCCTCTTCCCTCCAGCCTAAATTTTTCCCCAACGAGGATGTGAGCAGGAGCGGGCCTGCCAAGTGTGGACACGCTGCTCACGCCATCGCTGCTCTCGTGTGATTATTCTCCACCCCCAGTCTTGCCCTCTCTCTCCCTTCCTCTTCCTCCTCCTTCGGCCCTCACAGAAGTGCAGTCTTTCAAAGCCTGCGAACCCTTTGCTGGGGAGGCATTCTGGTTAGGAGCGAATACCAGAGCATACTGGCTGCCCCCTCCTGAGTCTCTGAGCCATTCAGTGTGTATCAGTCTTCTCATCTGTAAATGGGGACAATGGCTGTTGTGAGGGTTAAATGTAAGGACGACAGCAGAAAAGTTAAGATCGCACAGACGTGCCTTTGAATCTTGTCTCTCCCTCTGTGTGTGTGACCACAGGCAAGTTAATTTTCAGGGCCTCTGTTTCCTCTTCTGTCCAATGGGGATAATAGTTGTATCCACCCTCCCCGGATTTAATGTGCTGACGGTTCTAAAGCACAGATCGCAGTACCTGCTTGCCTCTCAGCTTCTGCCTGTGACCCTCTAAGGCTTCGAGCCTGCTAAGGGCAGTGACTTGTTCTCTCTTGTTTCAAACCAAGAGCAGTGACATGAGACCGTGCCCTTCATTCAGAACAGCTCGCCTTCCAGCGGATGCAGGCTACAGAGATAAGACAGCTCCGTTTCCTCTCTTGACTCCCTGTGGCTGTCATCAGCTTCTGATAAGATGGTACCAGCTGAGTGGGCCCCAACAGCTCCAGAGGGAGAGTAAGAGCTTGGAGCTGACAGGGACCCAGAGCTCCTCAAAGCCGGTGGTGGTGGTACCTGTCATCACTCTGAGGCATGGGGCAAGGGTGCCGGAAGCTGAGGATGGGGAAAAGGGAAAGATCTGCAAAATTCCTTGCCCCAGACAGCATGGATCCCTCCCTCCTTCCTTCTCACCAGTCCTCAAGACACTCTGACAGCACAGGAGGAAATCGGGGGGCAGGGGTCCCACCAAAATCCATCATGGGCTTTGGGATGGCTTTAATGTCTCCAAGAATTTCAGTGAAATTTTGCAAGTGTGCACATTTTACCAGGGGGAGGCAGACCAGAATATTCATCCCATTCTCATGGGAGGGTTCTCCAACTCGGGCCCCCGCAGTGGTGTGCTGGGGCTGGCCCGTAGCTGCTCGCAGGAGCCGGTAGTTAAATTTTCAGGAATTTTGTGAGCTAGTTGTTAAACACAAACATTAAATATTAAACATTTAAACTTACAATGAAGTCAATTATCTTAAAAAAAGGTAATAAAAACTCAAGACTCATCACTTCCTAATTAGTTTACTTCTTGTTACTGTGCTCTAAGCTCTTGGAGCTCTGTGCATCTCTTGCACCTGTACTGCTGTGTAATGCTGTGTTACTGGACATTGCTTCCCATCTCTGCATTCGGCAGTGTCACGTGGGTAACTTGACACTGGCCTTGGTGAGTGCCCTCCCCCATGCCCCAGGCTCTTGTTAAACATTTCCCAGCATGTCACAGTCCCTTCCCCACCCACAACAGAACTGTCTGAGGTGGCCTGTTACAAATACAGATCCCAGAGCCCTTCTCTAGACCCACTGAATCTCTGGGTTGGGGTCTGAGAATCTGTGTTTTTAGAGAGCTTCAGAGGGGATTCATAAACACACTCTAAACCCTGAGAGCTTGGAAGGAAATAAGAGAGGGAAGGAGATGTGGAAAGAAAGCGAACAGGAGGGAGAAGGAAGGGTTCCCAAGGATTTTTCCCAGGATCGGCTGTAGGACAATTGTACACTGAAGCCTGAGAACCAGTCTCTCCCACCTTTTGTTATTATTATTGTATTGAGAGAGGCATCTACCAGAGCACTCACTGTGGTTCAGGCACAGTGCTCAAGTCTATGTTTCATTTATATCTCACCCCGAGGTAAAAGCTATTTGTTGGCCCCATTTTACAGGCGAGGAAACTGAGGCCCAGGCTTGAGGGCCTTGCCCACGTCCACACCCAATAAGAGATAGAGGCAGAATTCAAACCACAGCAGTGAGCCAACAACAGAAGCCGTGATCTCACACCCACCTCAGTGGCCAGCGCACAGTAGGGCCTCGGTAAATGTTAACAGGTGGACTTACCCAGAAGTCGCCACCCAACCCGAGCAGCGTTTCTTCTGGAGGGCTTTTAAGACTCAAGGTTATTTCTTGAATGTCATTTACCGTCTCACAAGGAGAAACGTGGCTCATCCTGAGATGTGAGCAATCGAGATGGAGCCCCCATCCAGGGGAGAGGCATGGGAGAGAGGTCCCACACTGTGGTTCATAAAGCAAAGGGCTGCTCACCCCTGGCTCCTCGCTGGCTCCTCCTCCTCAGGCGCTTTGCTGGGCCGAAGAACTGCATTTGATATACGTTGGCGAGGAAGAAGATGATGATGGAGCTCCCAACCTGGTCTGGCAGAGTCAAACAAAATCACGTGAAAACTTAGAAACACGGCAGGAGTCAAACAAGAAAACCACGTCACCGCCTGTTGTAACCAATTTGGTTTACAAGCACGCTGAGTTCAGGGGGAGCAGGTGAATCTTGTGGGGATGCAGGAGGCTCGAAATGGAGCGGTGAGAGATGGAAAGGGAGGGTGAGGTTGACGTCGCAGGTGAAGGGGTGGCCGAGAATGCCGACTCCAGAAGTGAGGGAAAGATGTTGTGGTTTCTAAGAGTGGAAAGAAGCTTGGAAGGGCCATCCTTGGAAGACCCTGAGGGGGCCCTGGAGGAGCCTGGCTCTGTAGACCTGAGACTGTGGAGTCAGTTCTGGGCGCCCGACACTAAGCATTGCGGATGGGGGCCAAGAGGCCGTGGTGGGTGGCGAGCACCCTTGAAAGGCCTGGGGTGCTGGCTGGCTGGCTTCCCCTGGGGTTTCAAAGGACTTCAGGACAGCATTCAGCTGAGACCAAGAGAAACCCTTTCCTGCTCTCCTCTCCCCACCATTCAAGTCCCTGAGAGGTGTTTCCCAAAGCTGAGATCTATAGGAATTCCAGAAAAAGAGTCTCATAGTCAGATGAGTTTGGGAATTGCTGTATATCATATCCTTCTCCACAGAGATATCATGGTCACATTAAAGGCTCTGAAAAGTTCTGCAGACAAGAAGCATTTTTAACTTTGTAAATCATTTCAAACTGCAGGTAGCAGACAATGGCAGACTCCACTCAGATCCCCTCAAGTCCCTGGTTCCTGTTCTGTCCCACCCTTGTTTTCTGCATGCTTTCACATCTAATGGCACCTGTGACTTTTCTTCAGAGGACTCCCCTCCGGCTATGAGACCTAATGTGCCCAGAAGCAGAGCAGAAAGTGCCTTGGCATTTACTTCCCCGGGGGCAGCCCTTGACCAATGGCCAATATGCTGTCCTAGTCGGGGCAGCTCTGAGGATAATTAAGAGCCCAGAGCAGCCCTATGGGACCAGCCCAAAGCTGCCCCTGTGGGGCTTTGCTCCAGCTCCCGAGCTCACGCAATTGCCGGATTCCCATCACCCCATCCCCTACAGGAGGTCCCAGGAGCACGCCCCTAGTCAATCCCGCCACTCAGCAGCCTCTGGGGAACTGGGGCTAAACCACCTCATTTCTCTGACATTCGGACTGTTTGTTCCTGAAACACCTGTCAGTATGGTTTGGATCTCGTGTTCTTCTTCGGCACATAATTTGACAAACTCCGCCTTGGAGACTAGCCACCACACCGCTGAATTGATTTTCTGGAGGGGAGAACCCTGAGCTGATGAGAAGAGAAGGCATCCTTCAGGGCCTGTCTCCAGCTCAGCCCCCTCTCTCTGAAGCCTTCCTTTGCTGTCCTCACACCCCGGCAGGATTTCTGCATGGGGACTGAGAAGAGATTTCTTCTCTCAGTGTGCAGCCGACGTTGGGGTTTCAGGAGTGCAGTCCGG